CTTAAAACAGTTTTTCATGTATAAATTTTTTTTTTTTTCGCGTATTAGTCCAATTTGAAATTTTGTAGCCCCGTCTTAGATCCAATCCTGGATCCGCCCCTGCCACCCACACAAATTCTCATTATACTCCACCGCAACTACATATGCTAGGCAATGCTAAGCATATTAAATCCTTCGGGTTAAAATGAGATAAAACAACACAAAACAGAATTTTAACGAAGAAGGAAAACAAGGATCCCTACAACAAAAATTTAATTTTAACAAAAATAAAAAAAAATAAACAGAGAAATATAATGTAAATGTATACCAATCTTTGTGCGCTGGTTTTAGGATTGTAGCACTTGAAGAAGTCCACCTTATTTGCCATCTTGATATCTTTATCTGTTAGCAGCATGCAGAAAATGCAACTGTGAACTCAATATATGAATAATCAAGATTCAAGTGACCAAGCTTCAGAAATTGTCTCTGAAAAAAAACAAAAAAATGGTAAATGCAATAAAATATATTAATAAATACACCAAGTTCCCTTTAGCTTTTTCGGAGTTCGTATAAGTGCATGTCTAGCAATGCTATTTTTTTCTCTTTTAGTTTGTCAAACATACATTTTACCCACAAATTTTGTAGAAGTCATTTATTATCCCCCACCCAATTCACAACTATGCTAAGCAAATAAAATAAACTAACAAAGCGTTTATATAACATAGAATCAAGTTTGCAAGAATCAGGGATTAAACTTGCAAAAAGTTGTTAACAAAATACATTCATTTAATAAAAAGAATGTTAGTTTTGTCCGCAAGATTTCATTCAAGGTATCAGCAAGTCAGGAAAAAAAATCATTAATTTATCAAACAACGAGAATCAGTAATTTATTAGCAACATTTCATTCAATTAATTAGCAACAAGCTAGAAAGCATGCGAAGCATGATCCCAAGGGATCATTTGGAATCTAGTGGTCGCTGTCCGACCACAAAACCCAAATATGTTACTAACATTAGATCATAGCTTTATCCGGTTGATGTAAAGGGTGATCGACTGAGTTTCTTTTATGTATTCTACAAGTGAACTTTTATGGATTCTATAAGAAGTTCGCTTGAACTGTTGGGATCAAAGGTAAGAGAATTCATGTATCGACAACTTTCTAAATTTGAGAAAATAGAAATTTGACATTGGATACAACTATATATGATGAGAAGCAAAAGCAAATATACGTGTCACCTATTCGTTTTTATTCCAAAAAGAAAACCATGCTTCCTTAAGGCAAAACTACGGATTAAAAACCACAGTAAAAAGCAGTGTGTATGACACATTGAGCTATAGAATAAACTAGATCTCATAATTTAAAGAGCCCATTGCAATCAACACTACGCATTCCACAACCTCCTTTTTATTCCTCTATCGCTGATTCTTTTTAATTATTTTTTCAGAAAAATAAAAATAAAATTAGAGATTCTGAAATTTAACAGAAAGCAACAGATAACACACTAAATTCAGCTAGGGAGGGATCTCAAACTTCCTATCCCCAACATAAATTTTCCAGACCAAAACCACTTTTCCTTCAAAGTTATGGTCGATTAGTATAAATTTAATTTTTTGTTTTTTTTTAAGAAAAAAGCATATATAAAAACAAACATCTCAACAAATTCGACCTCCCGATCCATGGCATAAATTTTCAGGACCAGACCTGCATTTCCTTCAAAGTTATTGTCCATTTGCTGAGAGTTCATTCCAAAAATTCACCTACACACACAAACCAAAATCTCAACAGAACTTACATTTTGTAGTTACTTCAAGCGATCCCCTGGACGAAACTCAACACTTCAGTGAATGACTAGGGTTTCAAAAATAATATAGATGTATACAAGAAGGAAAAAGATTTCAGACCTTATTGATAGTGTTCAAACCTCTGTAAACGGGCCTACATGATATTAAATTTACTAGAACTGACACTGTGGGTACTGAAAATAGTGGTGGAAGGACGAAAATGCGCTTGAGATATATTACTATTTCGTTACATTAGGGTGTTCAGTTAAGGGGTGAGTTGGTAATTTGGTTTTGCATTTATTTTGGATGGTATGAAAATACTACAATATTGGGGATAATTTGGTAAGTTTCTTTGGTAAAGAATTAATTTGGGCCACTGGGATTGAAGGATGTTTTTCGATTCAAGGGGAATTAAATTGCTACTCAAATTTTGTTTGTTCACACTTTATAATTAGACCCTTATTAAAACAATATTTCATTAAATACACCACAATAACATGTATCGCTTAATTAAAAATCTTCATCAATCTCTTGCGCATCCATCTTGTAGGCACTTTTTTATTATTTTTGGAAAACTCTCGACAATAATTGAAGTGGACCTTACATTGATGGATTTTGATACTAACCGATCTTTTTAAAGCTAATTCAAATGTGACATGTGTCATGATACAAATCCATCGTAGTGTTCAATGCGCCGCCAAAAAGATAATTAATGCCCAAAGAGACAGATTGCGTACTCCACTTTAAATATATATCAATGCAAGCACACGATATACCTGATGCTTTTCACGCGCCGGAAGTGCATGAACCACACTCCGGATAAGAAATTACATATACTCATCATTGAGGAATCTTGGTGATGACCAAGTAAGTGATACCAGGTAAATGTAGAGAATCAACCCACCCAGAAATCCTAAGTGTTTGGGATACAAGTTCTACTTTGATCTTACAATAAAAGCTGTTGATCTGGGTTCCACACTACAAAAAAAATACCCAATTTGCAACAAGAAAAATGTTGTCTCATAAATAGGGATTGTTTTGCAAAAACAATTTTGTGATAACTATATGTTTGTTGCCGGCATTGTCTTGTTATATAAGTCACAGACTGTATTTCGCGACAACTTTCGATTATTTATCGCGTTCACAAACTCGCAACATTATTCGTTTAATGCAAAAAAAATATGAAATAGCAACAAGATATTTATCGCGGTAATGTTGTCGCAAAAAATTAAAAGTGTGACCAGTCACTTTGTCGCAACGATTACTCCAATAAGTTTTTGCGAGAAATATGTTTGTTGCGAATACTATTTTAAAGAAATAACTTTTGTTGCCTATTCAATTTTGCAATAACACATGCTTGTAGTAATATATGTTTAATAACAGATCATGTTTGTCATAAAATTTATTTTACAATGTGTTTAATATGCTGCATAATAAATTTTAAAGCATTCAACATTTGTAGTACAATTTATTTTGTAACAAGTGGTGTTTGTAATTAAATTTATTTCTTGTTTGTTGTGAAATATGTTTTACAATGTTTTTGATATGTCGCATATTATATATTAATATATTCAACATTTGTAGTACAATTTATTATGTAACAAGTGTTGTTTGTAGTTAAATTTATTTTGCAATGCAGGGAGTTTGTCACGTAATCATTTGTGTAATGATGTAAATTGTTGCCTAATTTATTTCGTGATTATTTATATATATTGCAAATTCTTTTTTACAATATATAAAATTTTACACAAGTTATTTTGTGGCACAGGACATTCATTCATGTGACGGGTTGTATTGTAGCTGAATTTATTCTGCAAGACAAAGTGTCTGTCGCTTGAATGACGTACAATTGTTGTCTAATCATTCGTGCAACTTTTAAATAAAAAAATAAAAATTCATATTATTGTCAAACAAATAGATAAAAGACCAAAGTATTATTTACAGACTTGATTACATCCAAAATAAAATAAAAATACAAAACAAAGTATACTGTTACTTTGGGTTCATACATCGTTGCGCTTGAATCAAAACATTTCAAAAAATGATGCTTTCTAAGCCACAAGGATGACCAACAGCCTCTGGCAAGTCTCCAAGGAAGTAACACTGATTTACTAGTACTATTACGGCTCACGATATAAGGCTCCAGAAATCCTACATGGCAAGCAATCCTAGGGCCCAACACCCTGTGTCAAATTGCCACCAAATCCATGAACGGGTCAAGCTGATGTGCGAGGCCGAACCCATTGAACCGTATCAACCCTCGTGGTAAGAACTGGGCCTGCATTGCAGGAGAACCTCTAGCTCAGGACAAAATCTTCTTGGACAATCCATAGTATGGCAATTGATGTGAAAACCTACTACTATCCTCATCCTTCCCAGCTACACGGTCAAGTCTAAAACCGTAAGCTAGGCATTATGGAAAATAAAATAGTGCTAGCATTTAATGCACATGATTGATAGCAATGACAAGAGGTCACAGCTGTCAGGATGAAGCAACGTGTCCCCTCATATAACGACTTTTAATTGTCATTTTTTACTATAAAAGCTCATACTTAGTGTCATTTTCAGGGTGATACAAGTTTAAACTCTTAACTTACAAATTTGCTCTTATATTATTCTTGATATACACCCCAAGGCCTACCCCCTTTTTACAATGGAGTCTCGCGTCTAAAGCCCTCCCACACTCATACATTGATTTTTCCAACCGACTTGCCGTCAAGTGCACACGGTCAACTCCATTATCACTAGAGGAATTCACATGTGGCTAACGGTTTGCCCAAGTGTGCAAGAATCTGGCTTGCGTGAACGGAGAGGCCTTGAAATCTATTGGCCACATTGGATGTACAAAATTTGAGGTCAATCAATTGGTGACGTCTATAGGAGACCACACCATAACCATGAATTCCCTTGTGGTGGAAGCCGATAGAAGAATTGTTCAAAAGAAAGGCTCTAGTTCTTGAAGAAAGAACAAGTGAAGAAACACTAAGAAAGAATATATTGGAAACACTGCCTGGTACACCATTTCTTGTCGCATCATGAGTTTCAACCATTATGACTCACATGCCAAGAATCAACATGACAATGCTTCAAAAAAAGAAGTTGTTTGGACAAATGTTAATGTTCACCGACCCAACCATCACTGTCGAAGAGGTGGTGGCACAACTACACGCTTAGCAAGAGATGTATGAGAGATGGCTACAAATTGATGAATGTAGCCCAGTGAAATGTTGCCATACAGCAATTATTTATGTAAATGCAAGGGCAGACTGGATATTAAATGCCTCATCATCACGCATTCCAAAAAAGTGGGAAAGAACATAACCAAGGGGCTTTCTCTCAAAGGCAAAGAAAGGAGCCTAGTCGTGTCAAAAGGAGGTAGAGGTGGACATGTCAACAAACTTTCCCCCCATAATATGCACAAGAGCATGAGCCCTAGAGGTTTCAACGCCTAGAAATAGGCCCTAGCAACCTCCTCTTATGCAAAGGCCATGAGTCACAAAAGGCCCACCTAGAAATAGGCGAGAAAGAAGAGACACTACCTATTTGAGGAATCAAGCCAGAATATCACAATCCCCACGATACCATGCTGAGGAGGAGAATTCAAATTTCCCATGGAGTTCTTTTGTATTAGATGGTGACGATAAAAGTATCCCATTTTCACGAGAATTGAGGAACGCCCATGTTCCTAGCCACTTTGTGCCTCCAAAGATTCCCAAATATGAAGAAAAGGGCAATCCGACAAAGCACCTTAACAACTACAAAACCCACATGAGTCTGAAGGGAGCTTCACCTGCGTTGAAGTGTAGAGACTTCCACCTCACATTTATGGGGCTGTTGAGATACGGTATATCTTTATACCGACTAGAAATATAAGGAACTCATCAAACCTAAAGAATGCCTTTTTAAACCAATAGTTGTTGCCCAACAAGGAGGGAGAAGCGCCCATTCAAATGTTGCAAGATATGAGGCACCAAACAGGTGAAACCTTGAAAAGCTATTTTGCCTGGTTCACAGATGAGATGACCTATTGTGAACAAGTCACTAACAAAGTCACACTTCCTACGATGCATGGGTGAAAATGATAAGAAATGAGATTGTCAATGACAAGTTGATAGATCATCGCAACCCAACTTCGATGGGACTCTCGCACCTCAGAGGTAGAGAAGAGGCATTGTCTCGCATTTGGTAGACTAACAATAGGCTCAGGCCAGAAATACCATTGTCCTACTTTAAGACAAGCGTTAGCAATTGCCACCTTAAATGCATTGTCCTCTTTGGCATACGAACAAGCTGGACCTAGTGTTCAGAAGCCACCGAACCATCCCGAAGGCAGGGGGAGTAGGAATAATGAGCCTAGAAATAGGCCCTACTGCTTTTATCATCGAATTTATAGCCACAATACCAATGATTGCATGTCTAGACCGTATCGCTCAGAGCAAACTGACTCATACTCAGATAGGAGGGGCACCCAACACGCTCAACCTAGAAAAGTCAAAACCTATTCCGAAGTAATCACCAATTTTAACTTATCGAATGTCTGCTGCCCGCTGAGATAAGGCCATGTAAAAGGCCCTTTATAAGCCACATACAATCTCAATGAAGGCTAGGAAAAGAAGGGAGACAATAGCACCACTCGCCTCGCTTTAAAAAACAATAGCAATCAAAAGGACAACCATTTGTACAAAAATCCGTTTGATAGAAAGTGTAGGATGGAAGGGAATCTACTTCACGAGGGTATCGTTCACATGACTTTCTTACTTTAGAGCAAGTGAAGACTCTATAACCTCTATTTACTATGTGTTAGCAAAGTGTGGGCGAGCTTGATTTCTGTCACCGCTATTGGATGTCATAGTGTGGCACGCGCTTTATCAACTCTAATGTTGTCGGGTCTGCCTTATTTTGAAAAGCTTTCGAAGTAAGCTAAAGCTTCCCTTAAGCTTGAAGATAAGTTTTATACTCTATTAATTTCTCAGTCCCCCTAGTCGGGTGGGAGCCGGCCGGTCTTTCGCCCAGATCCCCCTAAAAACCGTACGTGCGGGTCTCCCCGCATGCNGGGTATCACGCTCAATAGAACCATACTTTGCTATGTCAATAGGAGAGAGAAAGAAAGAGGAACTATAGATCGAGAAAGTCACTTTAGATACACCAGACCAGACACACCTTTTTTTGTTAACCTATTTTTTGACTGACCGGAGCGGGCACCCCTCTGCCCCCTATCACAACAAGGCAGAGCTAACCCAACATTCTGTTGTTCTCTAAAAGGTCTGCCTACTTTATTAACAGCACTCCTTGTGGAACCAGCAACATCCCACCCATTACTTTTACACAAGAAAATGTTGCAGGTGCACACTATCCTCATTACCAAGAATTTTGTTGTTTGAATTGAAACTTCACAAAAAAGTGCGAGATATAGTTGTCCATGAGATAATACATGTTCAGAAATGTAGGCAATGTTTGTTCTTGAGCTTTGTTAATGGTAATTGCAAGCATAGACATATTGAAAATTGTTTCTTATTAAATCTGAATGGATATACATCATCATTTACTGGAGTTAACAGAATGCATGGAAGGAAAACTTATTTTTCAGCATGTTGTCCAACGATTATTAATTACATCAATCATTATCGATTTGTAGTAAAGACCGCTGAATATGTCTAGATTTCTTAAGTGCATCACTGAACAATTTCTTTTTAAGATTAACTTATGTGCTGCGATATCATTTGACAACAATATATTTAAGAACTGCTCTTGGTAAAATTGATTTGTATTTAGATTTCAGCCAAAAAATAAAAAAGGAGATTCAAATATGAAATGAAATTACAAAAAAGAACATACTTTGAAAGT